CTGGTCGCCGTCGACATTGGCAGTGCTGGGAAGGGAAAGACCAAGCAGACTGGCACCGAAGGCCCTGGCGGCAGAACAGGCAAGCAGGGCAGACCATCGGGAGGTGAAGGCTGCGATGGTTGCAGCTCGCAATGTGTCGTTCAACTACCCTTTTCTTGGGCGCGTCGAGCGAACAGGCCGGCTCGCGGGCAAGCGAACGGCGGTCGACTTCTGCCCCACAACCGTGTGTCGGTCCGCATGTACCTCTTTTTTTTGTGTTAAGCACGCACCTTTTTCCTGCCCACTTCGTGCATCTGCGTGCCTGCTCGGCGGGCCCTACGTCTAGACCTAGCACACCTACGGCTACGGCGCTGGGCGCGATGGCAGGCGGCTCGGCCCCTCGGCCTCTGCCAAGTCGAGGATGCGGTCGAGGGGCGGGCCTGTCGCGCGGGCTGCATGCGGCGGTAGCGGCCACGGCATGCTGAGGGCTGTGCTCGTGACCGCTTGCTGTACGGCGACGGAAAGCCCTGAAGCTGCTGCAGCTCGCAGTGCCGGCGGCGCTTTGCACGCGCGCACCCGAACGAGGTCCCGGAGCAGGCCGTGCGCGTCGCCGTTGAAGCGTTGCTAGCAAACGCTTCGCTTCGCTTCTAGTTCTGAGGCATGCCACATGTTTCGGAGAAGGGCCCTGAACTCCGTCCTTGCAGGCATGGCGAAATCATGCACAACAGCACAACTGGAACACTGCGTGTCTCAACCAAACCGTTTCACGGCACTCGCTTGCGTGTGCTGACGAGGTGCTTGTGCACATAGCCATCCGGGTTGCGCACTGTCGCTTTGTAAGCTCTCCTGGGTAGTTGAAGTTTGGGCAGACACGTCATGCTCGGTGCGTTGTGCCCCCGTTGCCCCCAAAAAATACGTGCCCAGCAACATCAAGGCTGGCTTGTTGTTCGCTTCCGGAAAGCAGTCCTCAGAGCACAAGGCTACTCTTGCCCGTCTGGAAACTCACCCACTTCCCTAATGTAGGGTTGGCAGGTTGGAAAAAGATCCCTGTACCATGTACAAATTGCTGTACAATGACAAAACTAAGACACATCACGTCTTCTTGGGACACAGCTGTCTAAGGGGACACGGGCGATGCGAGGGGGTCACATCACATTCACATCAATCAACATGGTTTTCCCCACGCAGACGCCCCATCAGCAAGGCTGCATCAACTAGACACAATCTCGGTGACCACCGCGCTGCTTTCCCCCGTTCTGGCATTTTGCGCTTTCGTGGCCTCCCGTCCGAGCGAGCTGCTGCCTGTGTCTGCCGCGAGGCCGGGGTTACTGTTGCCTCCAATGCGTGACTTCCACATCCACTCCGAACACCTCGATGACCGCCGCATCGAGGTCATCGCCAACGGACTCGGGGGGCAACTTGCCGTTGACACCACCTTTGTGTCCCCTGTCGACGCCAGTGGGGCTGCACGCCGGCGCCAGCGGCAGTACCGTGGCGCTGCGCTTGGCCTCGCACGCAGAGCTAAAGAACGCACCTACCTTGAGCTGCTGCGCTCGCAAAGGTGCCGGCTTGTTGTCCTTGCACTTGTGGTTGGTGGCCGCTGGAGTCCCGAGGCTCCCCAGTTCGTTCGCCTCCTCGCTCGGTGCCGGGCCCGTGCTGTGCCTCAACCGTTGTGGCCTGCAACCACGGCTGCCGTCACTTCCCGTTGGTCCGCCTTGCTCGCCTTCTGTGCCGCCAGAGCCTTCGGTGCCAGTCTCCTTGGCTTTTCCCTGCCCGGCACAGCCAATGTTGATGGCGACCATCCCCTGCTCAGCGAGGTCCTCTCCTCGACTCGCTTCGCCGAAGCCTTGTCTGTTGCCAGCTGTTTTCCCCCACACCAGTGGGGTGCAGCGTGGAGGACGCTGACCTCGCGAAAAACAGCGTATAGCTGCAGTTTCTCCCCTTCGCACTGGAACTGCAGAACTCCATTCGCAAAAAGGTCCATGGAAAAAAAATCACATGGAAACCGAGCCATTCCCCGTGTAGACGCCCGATATCCGCAGCAGCCACGCAAGACACACGTCGGTGGAATCATAACACAGCAGAACCAGCTGTTTCCCATGTAGATTCTGGATTCCATAAGCACTCAGTGAATGGATCTAGGAAACATGTTTCGACTTAGCTGTGTCATTGCAAACGACCACACGTAACTGGCATTGGATGCCGCTGCTTCCCTCCGTGCGCTGGTGAAGCTTGCTTCGCGGGTGAGGCATCGGAACTGTACGGAATCCTTGCGAATGTGCGGGGCAGCTTCCCGCTGACGACCAGCCGTTCGCTGGCGCCAACCTCATGCGCTGCATGAGGCTCGCCGTAGGCGGCAAGTGGTGTAGACCACATTGAACCTCCGCAAACCAGTTGCCGCAGACGGAAAAAATGTGCCCGATTCGCCTAAGCCTGTGCGTTGCGTTTGCCACGGTCCACCGTAATCTGCAGCTTAGTAGCCTCGTTCACCGGGACCGCTTCGACCTTTGGTAAAAAGGTGCGTGAAAAAACAACTTGAAGCTTCTGGCCGAGATCAATGCGGAAGCACCTCACTTCCTTCCACAGTGAGGCATTCCAGATCCTTGTGTGAAGGCTTGCTGGCACGATAGCCCTGATTCTTATCTCTGAGGCCTTGTCGCTTCTGCGTCAAACCCATATGTCTAAAGGATTTTCACGGTCAATGCACCAGGCGCTCTTTTCTTATGTACATACCGACCGTAAACGGTTGTTCAAGGACCGAACCTCCTCCTTCACGGGTATTCACAAGACTCTAAACCTAGATAGCTTTTCACCAGCAGGGGAAGGGGGCAGCAAAGCTGCACTTTGCAGTGCGGTTTTGTTAGGAGACACATACCTGGGGACATGAGCCAAGTGCGCTGCAGAAAAATGGTCGATGCAAGTTCCGCTTTGGTTCAGGGACCCCACCCTACCTCCCACGACGACCCAAGTCATTTTTTTTTTTAATTTTCTTTTGGTGCACGGACTTTTCGAGCTGCCCAACATTGCCCAACGAAAGGTGCTCCAGCCGCGGTCGCAACTGACTACACTATTAACGGGACACGAGCTACCCACCAGTCCCGCATCAGGGCCGCAGCGGCAAGCGGCTCTGGCCGGTGGGGGCTTCGTGGTGGAGCAGGGTGTCCAGCGGTGGGCCGTCGCAGGTTTCTGGCTGCAGTGGGTGCAACCAAGCGCCTCCCAATGCCGTGCTGGCGACGGCCTGCTGCACCGCATCGGACAACATGCTCCACCAGCGCCTCGCCCAACCGGCAGATGCCGCGGCGCGGAGCGCGTGCGGGGCTCGGTGATCTTTCAGCCGGACCAGGTTATTTTTTCCACGCACCTTTTTACCAAAGGTCGAAGCGTTCCCAGTGAACGAGGCTACTAAGCTGCAGACTACGGTGGAAAGCGGCAAACGCAACGCAGGCTTTGGCGAGCCGAGCCGGCAAGCGACTGGGCTCCGGCGCCAGGTCCCTCACGAAAGTGCACGCCTGGTCGTTCCAGCGCCGAACCCAACACGACGAGCTGTTGTGGCCCGCCGCGGGACAGCTCCAGGTAGGTTGCGAGCTTCCGGTGTTGGGTCACCCTCAGTGCCGGCTGCGGGGGTTCGCGCAGCTTCGCTCAAACGCGGCTGCTCTGGCCAGGTTCGGCAAAGAAAATTGGACGCGGGGGGCAGCTGCGGCCATCACCAGCCCCCAATCGTTTGAAATTTCAGCGTGGACTTTCGCATTGGCCGGGCTGGCATGTAGCTGAGTCATTTCAAACGGCTCGTTCCAGAAAACTGTCAGGAGGTTTTCGCCGTCTGGTGTCGAGGACGCTCGCCAAAGAGTGGGCTCGGACAGTTATCCCATATTTCGGCCAGCAGAAGGTCAGAGCGGATCGCGGGAGGCGGGAGCACATGTGACTGGTCGCACGTCCATCCCTGCTGCTCAGTATGAT